CTTCCCAAGCATGAATCATTTATAAAAAAAAAAAAAAAAATCAAGCCTTATGCCATTAAGGCTTCACCACCAAAGACTGAAGCTTCACACAGCCTGTGCAAAACCAAGCACGGAGTTGGCTCTCCTTTCTGGCCACTAACACTAATTAAAACTAAATGAAAAGAAAAGGTTCAGATTCCTCCACTTGTTCTGAAAAGACCTCTGTTTTTTTTGCCCCCCCCCCTTCAAGTTTTAAAGAGGACAAAGGGGATTTGTTGAAAACAATTTCTTTTAAATTGTGGAATGGCCTCTACAAGGTTTATCAAATTTAAGCATGAGTGTATGTACATAATAGCTACAGAAAATTTTGCTGAAACTATTCTCTGTTCCTGTTAATTCTTATCCCTCTTGACTAGGATATTAACAAAACACAAAACCAGGAGTGACTAAGGTTGTTATCTCTACCCTGGTGTCATGTGTCATCACTTTTCCTGTTCTCACCTGCAGGAGCCATGCCTGGCCTGGTTCACAGTACCCATATCTCAGATTATTCCATGCTGTGTGTGGAGGGTGGTACTTTAATCATAACAGACTCTCAGTGTTTAACCTTTTGGCTTAAACTATAAAATAAAAACCTTCTTAAACACTAAAACATTCCTGTAACTATTTTTTGTTTTGCTTGTGATTTCTTCTGCTTCTCAGCTGCCAGTGGTCTTCCAGTTCTGTGGGCCTACTCAGTCCATGAGAGCAGTCTGGCAGTGTCTGGAATCCTGTGCCCTGCCGCTGCTGTTCTCTGGATGCACATGGTTTAGCAACTGCTTTTCTCTGGATGCAAATGGTTTAGCAACTGCTTCCGGCTTGGGCTAGGAAAGAGCACCTTCTACACCATCCAGTAAACATGTACCAACTGATTTGTATTGAAAAATCAAAGGTCCCTATGTTCTAGGAACTACCTAGAAGGTTTCCTCTCAGTTCTACTGTGACTTATTACAGCATCTCCCAAAGTATGTTTCCCAGAAGCTGCTAGATCTAAGGGATGTCAAGTGTTATTATGTTATTATGTCCATAGTATGCTATAGGAAACTATCTACAGAGCTAGTCGGCTTTCTTTACTGCAGTAATAGGCATGCTCGGTACAGAGCAATTTGTGGATATAAGGCTCAGTGAAGACCCTTTGGGAAATACTCTAATGTCTTATGTGATCTAACTTCTATTGAATGTTTGTTAATAAGCTTTTTAAACAAATGAACCAACAGCTGCGTGTCAGACACCAAGCTGAGCACAGTGTAATAATTAAACAAGGTATATCTTCTTTCTTTAAGACAATCACAGGGTTGGCTTGCTAGCTTCTTGATGTTTTCAGCTAGAGTCTCACTCTGTAGCTCAGGCTGACCTGCAACTCATGCTCCTTCTGCCTCTACCTCTTGAGTGCTAGGATTATGCATTTAATTTGCCCTGTGTTTCCTTTCTATTACTGTGATAAAATACTGGCCCAAAGCAACTTAGGAAGAAAAGGGCTTATTTCCATTTATCCTTCCTAGTAACTGTCCATCACTGGGGCAGGGACAGAATTCAAAACAGGAATCCAAAAGCAAGAACTGAAGCAGAGACCATGCAGGAATGCAACTCCCTGGCTCACTCCCCATTGCTCATGTTTAGTTAGCTTTTTGATACAGCCCAGGCCCTCCTGTTTAGGGATGCTACCACTCACAGTGGGCTGGGCCCTCCTATGTCAATTACAAATCAAGTTGATTCTTCATAAACATGGGTCACAGGCCAGTCTGATCTGAGCAATGTCTCAACTGAGACTGTCTCTTCCCAGGTGACTTTTGAATGTGCCAGGTTGACAAAAACTAACCAGGACAAGCTAGAAGCTCATGATTTTAAAGATCAATGCTCTCGAATTGCTTTAGGTGTCGTCACCAACGTAATAACCACCAGCCATTCATTGGTGACTTTAGCTAAAATTAAATGAAAGATTTAAAAATATATCCTTACTTATAGCACCTACATTTCAAGGCACCAGAGGTCACATGTGTCTAGTGGCTCTTGCCACTACTGTCACAACAATAAAACGGTCTCTCATGCGTCACTGACTCAGAGCTTCTTTTCTCAAGACTAACACAGCACACTGTTACAACCCTATCCCTACACAATGGCTTTCAGATGTTCCAGAACTGTTCCTGTGCTGCCTCAGTGAGCCTTTTCCATTTAGTTCCTTAAGTCTCTTGGTTTTTCCTAAGCCGTTTCTCTCTTAGTTTGTAGATAAAAGTCAAAACCGTGTGCTCAGCATTTCTCTCTGGGTCTTCCATCAAATCCCCCATGTCAGAGAAGTGCTCAAAATATCAGGAGTGCTATTGATTTCTGGGGTATCAAACAGTTATTGCTTTTTTTTTCTATGTTCTTTGGTGTTGGAAATTGCTGCAGATGTCAGTCACAGCAGGGATTAATTCATCATCTTCAACATTATATGAATATGGGATCAGCAGTGTGGCTCGATGCCCATGCACAAGCCTGCCAAATGCTGGCTGCTTTGTGTGATCTGCACTAGTTCAAATTTCCCAGCCAGATAAGACTAGATTCTTTGGCTCAAAAAGTGTCAAGTGAGTATCAGCTTGGGACTTGAATGAGGAAAGGTTTTACTTATGGAAATATAAGTCTGGATCATCACTCATCACTCGTCTGCCTCAATGTAATAAAACTATGAAGATAAGATTACAGAGAGTCCCTAACCTAGGGACTATCGTGGGTTCACTTATGAGATTTGAGGACCTCTTCCCATGAAGTAATAGTACACACAAAGGTCAGATATATAGTTAAACCATTGCATAGGATTGGAATATGGTACTAATCCATAGTAGCCCTCCACATTAGTGTGAACAGGTTCCCATTACATTGTGACTTTGAGTGTAGCTGGAAAAAATAAAATAAATGCATGCAGTTGGATTTGGATGAAGAGATGAGATGTGTGAATTACTCCAAAAGGATTTTCCCCACAGTCCTTGCGTGAGCTACATGCCTTTACCTGTGAGCTGTTGTACATACAAGTCCCTCAGTGTCCATGTCCTCCACATCCCATTCATTCTTCAGGTCTTGGTTTAATTGCACACTTCATTGCTCATCATCAGTGAATTATTGAACCCAGCTCACACTTATGCCCCATCACTTAAAGAGAGGAATTTGGGGGTGTATTTTTAAACTTCACAGATATTTAACAGTTTTTAAACTGGTGATGCCTGCCTTTGACCCCTGCCTTGTTTTTTCTTCTCCCACTGAACACTTTGCTTCAGAAATCCTCAAATCCTCGGTCAGCTCAATAAGAACTGTTATCTCACTACAGTCTCAGTGCATTTCCTTTGTGAGGAAGTGCTTCCTACTGGATCCGGCAGGCTTGCATATCTACCTGTGATGCACAAGAGGCAATGGATGTGATGAAAATTCACTGGTAATTCATGCTTATCAGTAGATCTTTAAAACATTGTGCTGAGTGAAAGAAACCAGACACCAAAAGTACATGAAGTTTGAGTCCATTTGCATCCAACTCTAGAACAGTCTAATGCAGAGCGTCAGGTCGCAGATCTGTGGTTGGCTGGGGCCAGGGGATTGACGGCAAAGACATAACAGAATGTTCAAGAATGATGGAAATGTTTTAATTGTGGCATGGTTACATGTTTACAGGGAACAAACATCTGTCAAAACTCATCACACTGTACATTTAAATAGAAGCATTCTACTGCAGATAAAATATGCCTGAATCAATTTTATTGTAAGAATAAACTTGGTAAACGTATGCAGCGTGTTTTTTTTAAAACTCCATTCTTCACAAGAACAATGTTTTGACAGGCCTCTGCTCAGAGATTTTGATGTCCTTGCCTCCTGGGTGGTTAGCAAGACTAACAGAAGAGTACAAACCTATCTCTAAGGGACAATTAGAAAACCTCCAGTTTGGGGTTCATTATAATAACAAAAATGGTTCATGTATTAGACAAAGACAAAAGGAACCCTCTGGCAATGAAGTTTCCAGTGTTGTTCAGCTTCAGGCTCTCATGTATATGTATATTTAGGAGCTAAAACAGATACCATGGGCTGGTCCTGTAGCTCCTGGCTGGAAAGGCCTCTGTGGGCAGTTTCAGAGGGTGCTAAACTCTAGTCAAGGCTCTCGTCATCTCAGCTCTCTGTCCACCCCAATGTATGCCATACATGAGAATTATGTCCCCCAAGGCCTGGGTCCCAAGTTCTCATTCACCACAGCTGTTCCATGTGTGCAAGCAGGTGTTTACAGGTGGGTTCTCCTGGAATTCTGGCAATAGTATCTGTAAATCTCTGTACTGACTATCACTGGGAACATCTCCAATTTATTAGGCCAGAACCTCCAGGAGCTGGCTCAGACATAGTAGAGCTCTCCCAGTGGCTTTCATGGAGCCTCAAGGGTGAGTACCAAGGAGACTGAGTAGGCTGATTCTCAGCTATTTCCTGCTTAAGAGCATCTGGGAGCTATAAAGGATAGGCGCATGGGGCTACGCTTAAAAATTCTGATGCAGTGGGCCAGAGATTGGGCTCAAGATACTGCCTTCCTGGGTGCTTTTTGGTTTTGCTTTTGAGGCAGGATCTCATGTAGCTTGTGTCACTGGCTTCAGGTTCCCTAGATTTCTGAGGATCATCTTGTGTGTAAGTGCAGGGGAGGGGGGTGTGCACAATGTGTGCAGGTGCACTTGTGTGTGAATGTCGAGAATCTTCCCCTATTGTTATCTTGTTTTTTGAGGCAGGTTCTTTCACTAAACCAGGAGCCTGCCATTTTGTCTAGACAGACTGACCAGTAAGCCACCAGGCCTGCCTGTCTCCTGTTAGCCCTCACTACCGTGATCAGCTTATATTATGCTTATATATCAAGTACTCGGCCCACTGAAACATCTCCCTTAGCACCACTGTGAAAGGTCATGAATTTCTCATCCTCCTTCCTCCCCCTCCCAAGCTGGGATTACAGGCTTGTGCTCCCAAGCCTTAGTTATATCATGCTGGGAATTGAACCCAGGACCTCATGCATGCTAGGCAAGCACTCTACCAACTGAGCTACATTGCTAGTCATGCTTCTATATTTTCAGTA